CTCTCAGCTGAATTTCAGTTGTTAGGCGGCCTTAGAGGGGAAAAATCATTTGGGGTGATTTTCGGCAAATTTACCAAGTGTCATAATTTGATATTTAGGTCAAGTTTGACATATTTAAAAAAAGATAAAAAGTTAAAAAGTCACTATTTTATTTAAGTCAAATCATCTTATTTAAGTCACATCACCTCTCTAACACATCACTTTAAACCTAACCCAAACTCAACCCATATTTCATAAAAAGTCAAAAAATGCACTTATTTAGATCATCCCAAACAATCCCTTATTATTTAAAATAGTGATATTTATTATTTTTATTAGCTTTTTTGGAAATAATTTAATAATTGTTAAGTAATAATGGTGTAAAATAATATCCTAAAATTACCAAATAATTGCCCGTTCGAGACAGAAAGAGATACAGGAACTTGCTAATAGAAATTTTTAAAAAAAATATTAAAAATTTTACATAATACTTGTGAGTGTGTGAACTGACACTATATAATCCCCATATTTATGTATTGTGTAAAAATTTTGATAACTTTTTTAAAATCTCTAATACTTTGAGAAATTATTCACTCACTCAGTATAATATGTTTTAAATTAAAAGTCATTAGTTTTATCGATCAGAGCAATTCCAATGTCAAAATTATTAGGCTTCTCAAAGCGGTTTTTTCTCTTCTTTTTTTTTTGTTTTGTTTTGTTTTTTTTTTAACCATTTTTGAACCATAAGCCAAATTTCTTATTACAAAATTGACAACCAAATTTTGTATCAAATTTTACTTAAATTTGACAAAATATTTTTTGCCACATCAACAAAACTAAGTCTTACCATAGGAGGTTTTCTAAGAAGAACATCTCTAATGGACGATTTGGGAATTAGTTGTATCAAAATGACTTGTGAACTATTGGAGTGATATAGCCGAAAAATTATGTCATGTTTGGTTTACTTTTCAGAAACATATTTCACAAATTTTTTTGAAAAACTAAAAACTAGTTTGGTGAAAAAAAATGAAAAAATCAAAATCAAAATCAATTATTATTTTTAAATAATTTTATCTTTTTTACAGGGTAGGAATAATTTTTTAAAATTCAAATATATATATATATATATATATTTGTTTATTTATGTCAAATTAGTTTCTACATTTACAAAAAATAAAAAATTTAAAAAATAATCTCAAAAACTCAAATCAAACATGTTGCACGCTAGCAAGCTAAAAAATGGCTTAAAAAAATTATTTTACCTTTTACTTACAACAATGCTAGGTGACCCCGATTTTTTTGGCACGAATGATTCGAATGTCTTGAATGTCTCAAAACGATGTCGTTTTGGGTATAAAACGACATCGTTTCGTTTTGACACATTCGAGCCATTCAAGTCACACAAATTCGGACCACAAAGTATTTTTCTTTGCCTAAGTAAAGTATGGGAAAATTACCCACAGGTCTTATTTGAAATATGTGTACACTATTTAATCCAATAACTTTTTGAGTAGACCCAAAAGTCCTACTTTTCCCCTCTCTCTCTCTCTCTCTCTCTGCTTTTTGTCTCACTCTTTACGTTTTCCTCTCTCTCTTTTTTTCTACATTTTTCTCTCATCTTTTTTGTCATGGACGACGACCGATGATCACGTCATTCTTATTCTCTTTCTCTTCCTAATATATAATTACGGGTGACTGACGATCACCATTGATCGGGATTCACCAGTAACCACCAACCATCGAAATCAACTCGTGACTTCACCCTCACCGATGGCGAAGAAGATATATTTCCGACGAAGAAGATAAGTAGATCTACTTAGATCTGATGTAGATCTACATCAGATTTGAGTAGATCTACATCAGATTTGGCTAGATCTAAACAAAAAATAATTATCGGAGTACAATTCTCTCTCTATATCCGCCTTTCTCCTTCGATCTCTTATTTTTTTTATTTTTATTTTCTCTGCTATACACTTATCTTTTTTTGTTCTAATGGAGAAAATTTTCAAATTCTAAACAAGTATTTTTCGAGTTTTAGTTACAGACGATGAAAACTGTAAAATTTTACAGTTTCAAATTTAAATCAACTCGTGACTTCACCCTCACCGATGGCGAAGAAGATATATTTCCGACGAAGAAGATAAGTAGATCTACTTAGATCTGATGTAGATCTACATCAGATTTGAGTAGATCTACATCAGATTTGGCTAGATCTAAACAAAAAATAATTATCGGAGTACAATTCTCTCTCTATATCCGCCTTTCTCCTTCGATCTCTTATTTTTTTCTACATTTTCTCTATTATACTCTTCTCTTTTTTTGTTCTAATGGAGAAAATTTTCAAATTCTAAACAAGTATTTTTCGAGTTTTAGTTACAGACGATGAAAACTGTAAAATTTTGCAGTTTCAAATTTTTTTGGGTGCTGGAATGAATCATGGTTTAAAACTGTAAAATTTTACAGTTTCACATTTTTTTGGTACTTGAATGAAACATGGTATAAAACTATAAAATTTTACAGTTTCATAACATTCTTTAGAACTGTAAAATTTTACAGTTTCATAACATGTTTTTCAGTTTGATTAATAAGGATAAATGCTTAATAAATTTTTGCTTTGAAATTGTAACATTTTACAGTTTCAAAACTTATTTTTCAGTTTGATTAATATTGGAGATTATTTGTTTAAACTTTACAAAAATTGAAAAATAACATATGTTTTTCCCATTGTTGCTGTTTTTTGTCGTTTCATTTTTTTTTTCCTTTTACTTTATCAATATTTAGCACATTTTACTATATTTTTTTGCTCTAATTTTTCTATTTATTTTTTTTTCCGGCAATATTCTAAACATTCCGGTGAGTCTCTAGTGATATTCTTAATGTCCAGTGAACGTTCTGAACATTCCGGTGACTTCCATCAACGTTCTTAACACTCCGGTGAACTTCTGGCGAAACTCCGATGACTTCCCGGCGATACTTCGGCAACTTCCCGGTGATGTTGAACATTTTGACGAGTCTCCGGCGACCGTTTGACAGAAGTTCAACGGTAATAAGATGCAACAGTGTCTGTAAATTTTAAAAAAATAAAATAAATTTTTTTAATAACAATTAAAAATGTATAGAACTAATCGTTGCAAATGTTTTGTTTGAGAATTAACTGGATCTTAAACTTTATATATGAGACTTATCAAGAAGTTGCCCCTAAGTATCATCTTTTGGGTTGAAGGCTCGCAGCCCGATCAAGATTGCTCGGATGAAGCTAGGCCTTGGGCTTGAAACTTGGCCGCCTCATTGGCCAGCGAAAGGCGATTCATTGGGCTGCCTGTCGGACAAGCAGGTGAGCTCGTAAAAAATTATGAAAAAATAGAAAACAAACGAAAACGAAACAGCATTTTTTGAAATTATAAGCCTTAAATCTTCGCCTGCAGACTTGCAAGCATGAACTCGCTAGAGAAAAAATGCGTGCTTAGGGTCCAGTTTCACAGGTTAGGATGGCTTGATCCTATCCCGACCGTTACTTTCACCATTGGAGTTGCTTTCACTTTTGTATTGATATTTCATAAAGTAATAAAAAAAATATTTTAATTAGTAACACTTTTTGTTTTAATGAAAAATATTTTTTATAATTTTTTTTTTAATAAAGTAATTTTTGTAAAAAAAAAATACTTTCCTATATTTGATTTTGCCCTTTGAAATTAGTGTGACAGTGGTGGTACAAATGGAAGTAGCGAGGTGGTAGATATGGCTGTGGTAATTGTAGAGTTGTGACTGTGACGATTGATGATAGTGTGGTGCTATTTTTTTCAAACAACAATGATTCATCCCACTAAAAACATCACCACTAATAGCACTAATGCATTAAAAAAGTAAAAAAAAAAAAAAACACAACTCCAAGACCAAAACATCACATCATTAATGACGGGACCCACTGCCACCTAATTAGTGGGAGCACTAATTAGTGCTCCCAAGCATTTTAGGTCGTGGAGACCTACCACGAGTTCTATTTTGATAATCTAAATCGTTTAATGTGTAAAATCTATTGACTACTATATATTTATAAAAAATCACGTTGATCAGATATCGATACATGATCAAATTAATTTTGTATATAAAAAAAAATAGACCGTAAAAAAATAAACTATTGATAAAAATATGATCGATAAAATAATTATTAATATCTGATCGACGTGATTTTTTATAAACATAATACTCCATAAATTCTAAACATTAAACAATTTAAATTGTCAAAATAAAACCTATAATAAACTTTTTCAAACGTAACAACATACTCCAGTCTCATCACAGTCGGAGGGAAGCCTAGCACCATTCAAATTCACCAACCGAGCCCCCACAAAAATTTCAGTGGTGTCCTTCAGCTGCACATACCACGTGACGCCTTTAGAACGTGTCAGCTAATCTTTAAGAGAAAAATAAAAGCGCTCTCTCTCTCTCTCTCTCGCTCTCTCTCTCTCTAAATCCGTAAAAGGCATACAGTTTTTAATAAACTTTGGATTCTTGTTTAACAACTCTCTCATATTCATGGCATCATTTTTATCCTAATGATTTAGACTATTAAAAAATATATCATTAATAATATTAAGATATTAAAAATGATAAAAAAACAAACAAGACATAAAAGTAGCGAACTCGTTATCACATCATTAATGTTCATTCTAGTGCTCCATTTCTAATTCTGCTGAACATTTTTTTTATTTTTATATGCATTGTCAATGACAAATCACAAACCTCCACATATATATTATTAATTTATTAAAAATGTTTAAAAATTCTAATTTTAGAATAAATTTTAATAATAAGATCCACATGTTTGTATTTATTTTTATTTTTTTTCTCTTTTTAATTATTTGTTTATTTATTTTTATTTTTTTTTATGCTAAATCATTAAAACTTAAATTAAAATTCTACTTTTAAAATTCTTAATCACTGCTCTTAATTTATTTACCCATGCCACTACAAAACACCTACACCTTTAGCAGATACATTGGAGCTCGTACTCTCCTAGATGCTCTGCACATATAAACATACTCAAATAAGATAGAATAAGGCAAGTACTCTTTTTCATCTCTCATTCATTTCTCTTCTTTACAGTTACCCAAATCGAAAAGAATCTCACACACTGCTACCTCGCCGTTCTACCCTCTCTTCTTCCTGCAAAGCGCTGTAAACTAATGTAACAAAGCTTTTGGTTACACTTAACAATTTACAAGTGAAGTGAAGTAGTGTCAATTTTATGGGAAAGCAAGGAAGTACCTCATGGTTGACAGTCGTTAAGAGAGCCTTCAGGTCTCCTCCATCCAAAGAAAATGATAAAAAGACTAGCAGGAGAAGAGAAGAAACTGAGCAATATCAAGATGAGGAAGAAGAAGAAAAGGTCTTATATATATATATATAAATGTGTGTGTGTGTATTTGATTGAATATACTGAACTATCTCTCTCTCTCTCTCTCTATATATATTTTTTTTATTCATTTTGATGTTTATGGGTTTTGGGTGTTTGTTTGTGGTGCAGAAGAGGGAGAAGAGAAGATGGTTGTTCAGGAGACCTTCATTTACCAATAATAATATACAGCAATGTGAAGCAACAAGCATAGGTCCACCGATGAATCCTAATAGTTTGGGTGCAGAGCAAAGGCATCATGCGATTGCAGTGGCAGCAGCAACTAAGGCAGCTGCTGAAGCCGCTGTTGCAACAGCCCAAGCAGCTGTTGAGATCATTCGATTGACTTCTTCCACTTCGGTTTGGGAACACAAACACTACTACTCTGCAGCAATAGTAATTCAGACTGCTTTCAGAGGCTACTTAGTAAGTAATATATACCAATACAAACTCACTTCTAATCTTGAAATCCATGTCTCTCAATTTAAAAAATAACAAAATATATGTTGTGTCTGTTGTATCTAATTAAGCAATTTCATTTTCATTCATGCTATGCAATTTTTAGCCATTTATTTCATGGAATTCATGGGTATATTCTTTCGTGATTGAAGCTGAACGAACTCAGCACTCTTTTCTCGACAAGTTTCAACTAAACATTGTTAGGTTCCAAAACTGAATAAATAATGTTAAACTGTCGCACATCATCTCTCTAAGCCACCAAACTAAATATACTTTAGACCCTTCAATTTATTAGCAATTCATTGTCAGTTGGATGCCTTAAAATGGTATGAAATTTGGGTCTTGATATTCTCTGGTCTCTCATGTCACTGTCACCTCCACAGGCAATTCATGGGTGAGCTCGCTGGACCCATGTGAAACTCCTGTCCTGTTGGGTATACCTTGTGTGGAATACCAATAAAAGGAATTTGTTTTGTTTTGTTCTGTTTTATTAAAAAATGTGTAGCTTCAATTTTCACTGATGGGTTTCTTAGGTTCAGTTTGTGTTTGATTTTGATAGTGTGAAAGGGACATTTCCATTCAAAAAGCAAAGAAATGTACTTACTTGATTTAAATGCTAACACCAGAACATAAGGGAAAAGATAATAATTGAACAGGCCAGGTGAAGAATTATTGCTGTTTGATAGATAGATGGCTAGATAGATCATTATTGTTTATTAGAAGTGAATTATTGATCGGTTGAAGGCAAGGAGAGCTCTACGAGCGCTTAAGGGGATTGTGAAGCTTCAAGCTTTGGTGAGAGGACACAATGTTAGGAAGCAAGCAAAGATGACACTGAAATGCATGCAAGCCCTGCTTCGAGTGCAGGTTCGGGTGCGTGATCAATGCGCCAGGCTCTCACTCGAAGGAACTAGAAAGTCCATGTTTGCCGAAATCGACAACTCATGGGAATCTAGATATTTGCAAGACATCCGAGAGAGAAAATCAATTGTAAGTTGTTTTTAAAAACTACTCTGCTTGTACAAGATGTACATAATCATTTATCGTGTATGGACCACAATCTCCTCATCTCCTTTGTCTAACAATTGTAGCAGTCCAGAGCTGGCTGTGGCATTGCAGACGATTGGAACAAGTGTCCACGCACACTCGAAGAACTCGATGCTATTTTGCAGACAAGAAAAGAGGCCACTGCTTTAAACCATGAAAAAACCCTGGCACATGCATTCTCTCAACAGGTCTCTCTCTCTCTCTCTCTCTCAATTGTTCTTCCATCTTTTGGAATCATGAACTCAAAATCTTTGATATTTTGATACGTACCCATATCAAGATATGGGATTCAGGTAGGAACCCAAACCCTTGTGCTGGAGATGACAAAGAGGCAGATGAAAGAACAAATTGGCTTGATCACCGGATGGCGATGAAGCAATGGGAGAGCAACAACAGATCTTCAACTGACAGAAGAGAAAGTATAAAGATTCTTGAAATTGACACATCCAGGCCTTACTGTTGTCCTAATACCGGTGCTGGTGTTGGTGTTGGTGTGGGCAGATCACAATTTCAAAAGCAATCAAGCGCAGACTCTCTGGCTTCTCCCTACCACAGGGCATCCTATTCATATCCTCAACCACCTGTCACACCCTCTTCCTCCAAAATGAAACCACTGCAGGTGCGTTCAGCAAGCCCCCGATGCCCCAAAGAAGAATCTAGAAGAAGCTACTCAACCGCAAATACTCCAAGTTTGAGATCTGCTCGCTGTTTGAATGGTGGTTTATCTCGCCAGGGAAGTGAACGTGCTGGTAATTCTGCAACGCCCAACTACATGGCTGCCACTGAGTCTGCAAAAGCTCGTGTTCGGTCACAAAGTGCTACTAGACAGAGGCCCTCAACACCGGAAAGGGAACGAAGTGGGTCAGCTAAGAAACGCCTCTCATACCCAGTTCCTGATCAGCAGTCATACAGCAGTGTTGGAATGGGGATTGATTGTAGTAGTTTTAGCCAGAACTTGAGAAGTCCAAGTTTCAAGAGTGTGCAAGCAGGATTTGTGGGAATGGAACATCAGTCTAATCTGTCTTCATGTTATACAGAAAGCATCGGTGGAGAAATTTCTCCATGTTCAACCACTGATTTAAGAAGGTGGTTAAGGTGAACCAATGGCGAAATGATGACTAATTGAATTTGGGACAACAGCAGTGATGAATGCTTGTTCTATTCTATAACTATTATTATTACCCTTTTGTATTAGAATGTGAGACCTAGATGTAGTCAAGATGGGAATGACCAAATGAAGCAATAAAATGGATTAGTCAATGATTTTTAGGTCCTTTTTGTTTCCCTCTAGCTGTTCTGTTGCAGCTAATTCAAGAAGCAGAATATGTGACATCTTCCACGTCTCTACTATTTCCCTCTCTCAAACTCACCCGCCTATTGCAGAACCATTGACAGAGGAGATGTGCTAATATCACTGGTTTTTATCTCTTTTCTTTGGAAACTTACTACGCTCTTAGATTTTTTCTTTGGAAATTGATATGAAATCAGACACAGTATTCCGATTTAGTAATTTCAATGAGGTGGTGCTTGCACCATAACCACAATAAATTTGTTTTATTTTATTATCATAATTTGCACCACATTAAATGATGTTGAAGGAAGTTATCCACGCGTTAAGCCCAAAAAAAAAAAAAAAAAAACCAAAGAATTTTTGTAGCCACCGTCTCGTTCTTCTTCCTCAGCACACCGCCTGCAGTTCTCTACCCTTCCCTCTCCATTGCAGCCACATCCACCTCTCTCTCTCTCCTTAGGAAAGCCACCACTCTCTCTCCACAGCAGCCACCTCCTTCCTTGCAACAGCAGCCTCACTTGCTGGGAAATTTCCAAAATAATAATCTTAGTTTATGGGTATTTTTAAAAGCTTCATATTTTAACTTCGAAAAGCTTGAAACAAATATGGATAGGAACTTGTCCAACATTGGAAAAGAGGAAAAGTTGATGGAGATAATAAAATGTTACAAGGAATATAATACTTTGAATATGGAATTATGCAGAAGGATGTTAGTGTGCATGCACCCGAACAATAATCACACATGCACGAGCGTGGTGTGGGTTGTATAGCGCTTTGATGGCCCACTTTTCACTTGGCACGATCAAATGCGATGGATCAGATTGCACCTGACTATGATCGGATGCATTCTGTTAGTACACCCATTCGGTGTGAGTCAAGCTCCACACAATCGATGTTAAATCCAACATCAAGATTTCAGTCTAAGCTGATTGGATACGATTCAACCATTCAAGCTATTCCAGAGTTCAGAGTATCTCTGCAATTCTCTCTCACTCACTCACAGCTAGCTTTTTGTTTCCTTTTTCATAATCATTTCCCACAAACTTGAGTATTAGCTGTCTTTGTTCTCTTAATCATATCAAAGGTATTCTAGTTTATTTTTGTCTATGCAACTGTCAGTAGATAAATATTTTAATCAAGATTCCAATGTATTGTGGAGGCAAACTTGTTGTAACCCAGTACACACCATCTGATGGGGCAAAATTGTTTTGAAGGAAACAATTTTTTCATCAATTCAATGAAGGTTTTTGTTTGCACCCACTTTTGTTAAATTCTTGTCGACAGGTGGATCAATCAGATGGTGACATATAGCAAAGAATGGGAGTCTTCTATTAATCAAAGGGACATGTGGCATAAAAGGAGTTGGTCATGTGCATTGGATGATCCAAGTGGTGGAGCAGTTATTAGGCTAGGTCATGGACTTAGTCGGTTGCCTCAGAAAGGAACATGTGCAAAATAAGGAGCATTAACCTGTTGATCCAAGGCTCAAAATGATGAGGAATATGTGGCAACATAAAGGAACATCGGATTGACAGAGGAAGTTGATGATTTGGTAGAGTGTGAAGGCTTAGAAGTAGGGAAGCAGTTGCAACAGTTAAGCAGTGACAGTTACAGGGTAATGGAAATCATGCAATCATGATGATTTGGTAGAGTGTGAAGGCTTAGAAGTAGGGAAGCAGTTGCAACAGTTAAGCAGTGACAGTTACAGGGTAATGGAGATCATGCAATCATGGGCTAGAGTAAGATGGGAAAATATAAAAGCAGGAGTTGCTAGAGAGAAAGAGGAATCAGCAAATCAAAAACTTAGTTTTATCGTAGGAGTAGTTCTGTAACTTAAGAGTAGTTTCTTCAATAATTTGTATTAAATAATTTTATTTGGAGTTATCTTTGTTTATTTTGTTATTTTTTTCTTTCGACTGTTAATTGTTCCAAAAAATTCTTTGTATTTTCAAGGCATTGGAACCTTTATACGATCACCTGATTCTCTGTTAAATTGTTTTGTTTAAATTATTGCTTAATTGCTGTCGATCAAGGCTTAGCATAATTTTTACTAACAGTTTTTTAAAACACCAAAGTTGAAAACCACATTTCAAGATTGGATTTTTCCAACACTTTCATTGTCGCAGTCATCTTCCTTCCTCACACGCCATAGTAATCAAATAAAAAAAAAGAAAAAAAAAACTCTCTAGAGATGTGTTTCCCTCAAAAAGAAGAAAAACAATTGAGCTTGTCATGACAATGAATGGTGGGCGGGCGTGCCAAAGCCAAGTTTAGTCCAAATGGATTAAATGACTTTTAATCAAACAGACTCTGCTTAGTTGAATAGACAGCCACCGGTTCTTTTTTGACTAAATGAAAAGAACTACATAATTTACTCAAGCAATGGAGATGGATAAACAAAACAAACGAAGAAAACTTTATTATTGCAAAAATAGCAAGGATATTACAAATTGGAAATGTCCTGAAAATACTTGTAAATTAAAGGAAACTAAGTTACGATAAAGACATTGGACTAACAGAGTTCTTGAGACCACCATTAAACAAAGAGAACGAACAATGAATCGGAATACAAAGAGAGGTGATTCAGGTTTGATTATGGTAAAGGTAATAAACAGAGACGAGAGAAATGACTAAGAATAAAGATGAGAAGGAAAAATACAAATGCAAGCGACACGTGTTTCCGACTTCATGTTAAATGTTCATCCCAAGCAACAATACTCATTTTTTCTTTTTCTTTTTATTTTTACGACAATGCTACGTAGCTCAAATTTTGTGGCTCAAAAGTGGCTCAAATGGCCAAAACGACGTCGTTTTGAGTACAGAACAACATAAAAATGGCCAAAACGACATCGTTTTGGTCATTTGAGCCATTTTTTAGCCACAAAATTTGAGCTACGAGACATTTTCCTTATTTTTATTCAATAGATAGGGCTTATATTTCTCAATTAGTCGAGCCAAGCCATGCAATGTGGAAATGCTACATATGTGTTTCCTAACCACGGAGAAGGTATTAGGATTGAATAGCAGAACTCGTACAATTTTTTTCTTTCAAATACAGATCAATCACAAGCATCTAATTAAGTAATAATATGGTGGATTATGTATGCATTACATTCACATAAAAGGTATATAATAATGTTAAAGCCCTAATAAACATACCGACTAATGAATAATAATTTATTGTTGCATGCCTGTGAAAGGGTTATCTGTTAAAAGAAACTCAAAAACCTCTAATTTATTAACAGCATGTATGTATTAAGAAACTTGTATAATGTTAATTGTCTTTTGGAAACATGCATGTATTAAGAAACTTGTATAATTTTTTATCCAAACCTCTGACAAAATATGTATACATATAATTTTATAAATTAAATACACTCTCATCTAAAAACACACACACATAATACAACAATGATAGAGATTACTAATTTTGGAACTCTAAAAAGACTACTAATGACATGACACTCAATAAAAAAAGAAAAAAAAATACATCACCAAGGCCAAAACATCAAATCATTCCTGATGGGCCCACTACCACATTATTAGTGATAGCACTAATTAGTACTCTCACTCATTTTCCTAAAACATAAGCAAAAGAAAGTTGAAATACTATATGTATGTATATATTTATTTATTTTTTTTAATTTTTTTTTGTTATTGATTTATATCAGTACCAATATGGCTTCTCGTGATTTGTTCTTTGTCAGAAATGTATTACTAAAATAATAAAGACAAATAATATGGTTAGTTGCGGAAAAGTGAGTTTTCATGGACGACAGGTGCACTTGCCTTCCCCATGCCCGACTGCTTGGTTTGGAGGTGATTCACTGCAATCAGTATACCAAATGCCAACATATAAATGCAATCACAATGAAATTCTTTTGATTAGTTGAAAAGTACTAAACTTCTAATAATTTTTATTTGGATAAATTATAAATACACCTTCTCAAGTTTGCTTAAAATGTTGGAAGTTTGCTTAAAATATAGATTACCCAACGTTGTTTGAAAAATTACAAATACTCCCTTATTAGAATTTTTTATTTAATAGAAGAAAAATGTTTGGGGGCCCTAATTTTGTGGCTCAAATGTGGCTCAAATGGCCAAAACGACGTCGTTTTGGCCATTTTGATGTTGTTTATGTAATTTTCCAAATAACAGGATGTAATTCATATTTTAATCGAATCTTAGGGAATGTATTTAAAATTTATCCTTTTTATTTTGATTAAAAATTGTTAAAAGAAAAGATTTTCTTCTTATTATTTTTTTTAATCAAACAATAAGAGTATTTGCAATATAGAGAACTACAACCAGATATTCATAGGCCCATAATGAGTAACTAATGATCAGAGAGTAATTATCAATCTTTGCTTTTAGCAAACTTTGACGTTTCACATAAAAGTATGGATAGAAATAGGGATGGTAATGAATAATTTATCCATGAGTATTTATGAAGATTCAATCTAAATATAAGAGTTTTTTCTTTTTTTCTTATCTATCAGGTAGGTAGGGTAAGTAATATTATTTAAATCTCCATTTGGCATGGAGCAGGGATGATTTCCCCATATTTTTTTTTAGGTACATCGGAAAATAATTTCTCCATATGTATAGGTACATCAGAAAATAATTTCTCCATATGTTTTCACTAGAGATGACAATGGAGGTTAATGGGATGGATATTAATTCCCGTCCCCATTCTCCTATAATTATTTTTTTCCCATTCCCCATAGGTACTACCCTCCCAATCTCTTAATGGGTTTGGATTTTTCCTAACCTAACTTGACTTTTTTATTTTTTATTTTTTTTTTATTTTTAAGATTCACAATCAAAACTAAATATACATTTAATCTTATTTTCTTTTATTTGGCTCAATAACAAAATCAAATACACATCAATTAACATTGTAGCATTATTCTTATCAAATTTTATGTATATTTAGAATTTTTAAATTTATTTAGAAAAATTCTATTCCTACAAAAAAAATTCAATCTTCTTTTTTAATTTTTTTTTTAATTTTATGTATCTCCTTCTCTTTATTAATTGATCTTCAGTAATTTGAAAGTGAGTTGTTGATCTCATTTCCATCTTCTTCTTCTTTTCTTTTTTAATTTTTATTTACATTTATAGAATGAATTTTCT